GCCTGCCACAACACCTAGGTATTTTTTGGTTGCAGCCGTCATTGTTGTTTGGTGGGCCCGGGCTGGATTTGAACCCGCCACCTTGGGTGTACATGGCTGGCACCTTAGCCACTTGAGCCACAGGCGCCAAGCCTGGGATGATTATTTTCTTGAAGAGTCTTCACCTGGCCTGTTAGAACACAACCCCCATCTCTGAAAATGTGCTCTGGAGATAGAACAGCACAGCTCGGGCACCAGGGCACCCACATGATCGGGGCTCTGCTACATGACCTCACCAGATGGATACTTCCCCTGATGGACACCTCCCCTTAAGCCACAGGAGCCTCATGAGTAGTGCTAGACTCCATCACTGCCTGAACCATCAGCAAGGGAGTGTGAATCTTTGCAGGGATTTTATTCTTGGTAGAGGGGTTTGGGAGAAGTATAATATTATACAGCACATCCTGACAGAGAAAAAGGCAGAATGCTGTGTTGATGTCCAAGTGGAAGCCTGCATGCACGTGAGGAACGTGGGCCTCGCCTGTAGCTACACATGCCTCTCCCAGGTCAGATCCACAAAATAAGCAAAGGCTTTGGATGCCATACCTTATTAAGGTTCAGAACATGGAAGAAGTCCTTGGCATTCTGCTGGGAAAGCTGGACTCCTTCTTCTGCAGTTATGCAGCTATCACATGCCAGGCAGTCACTCAAGAATATCTTGGCATCAGCCAACTTATGGAATTCTCCTGTCTACAAAAGAAAGGTGACAGGGATGACTCTTCAACAAACACTCTTCGATGTGCTTCTATGGGGAGGTGAGCAGCTGCTCCTCCTCAGATCATGTCTGTCCATACCCTCCCCAGGCCTGGTGTGCAACTGCCCCAGCCCTACACTCCCATCACCCTTCAGGGCCCACTCCACCAACCCTTCCCCACCTGCTGTCACCCTAACAACTGACCTGGCAGGGCGCCTGCTTAGGTTATGTGCACCCCATTATCTCATCTCTCCACAGCCCTAGGAGGGAAGTAACCCAACTCCTCATGTCA